TCAAGTATTATTCAAGGAGTCCAGCAAGTGATTTCATATTTCTATATCAGTTCATTTTCCATGTAGAAGGAAATGTACATACTTTTCCTATTTTAAATGACTTATTTACTAGGTACTGTATAATATTAGTTTGAAAAAAAAATATTAAAAGAATAAACTAAGTATTATAAAAACAAAGAAATTCTACGAACTATATATAATATTATGTTCTTTTGTTTTGGTGAAACTTGTGTTTTGATAATTAAATTAGTTTATATGAAACCCTTACCTATATAAAGTGATATTATATAATATTAAAAATTAAGCCCAAGCAATAGGATATTTTTTGTTAGTACTACCTTATTATATTTTTAATCTGTGAAGTGTGAATCGGTGAATTCAGTTTAAGTATGCGCTTGCAGAAATTGTACCAATAGGAAATGAGTTGCATTACATTATTCATAATTAAATATTTTTATCCATTTATTTTAATACAATATTTTAACGTCGATTAGATTATTTTTCGAAAAATAAAAAACTAAATAAACAAAATATAATTGGCAATACTTATTTAGTAGGTAATAAAACTCTATTTTGTTTACCAGTTTAGTTTTTGTGTTTTAAATACAGATCATTCTATTGCTAGAGTTTCTATGTCTGTTTATAATGTGTAAAAAAAGGTAGAAAGAAACTCACAAAAGTTTACTTTAACTTAAAGAAAAAAAAATATTTGATTCAGTGTTCTACGGTATTTTATTTCAAAAGTTAGAACAAACAGTGATTATAAGAACTTGGCATTATTTTTATTGACTTCATACCTACAAAACAGAAAACAATTTGTTGAATTAAACGGTATTCAAAATAATGAGTAGATAGTATACTTCCTAAGGAGTTACAGAGTAGTGCAATTTCTTTCTCCGCTACTCTTTTATTTTCCCCCTAAATAATACATTTTTTTTTCTTTTAAAACTAAAAGTTGTTTTTACGTAGATAATATTATAAAAACCTCATATTTTATTGCAGTTATTTTTGGTAATACGTTTTGAACTTTTGTGATATTAGATTCACTGGACTATCATTAAAAGATAATGCATATTATAAACTTAATTGGAAGTTGTTTATTTTACTGTTATAATTGTTACAAATGATCTTAATTTCTCCTATTTCACAGTACCTACTAATTGTTTATTTTGAAATTTGAATTTCCGAATTCTTATTTTATTAAATTATAGTATTTTACATGGGTACTTGGATATACTTTTTTAGTTTCTAAGAATAAAAAAAAATCATAAATATTTATTTTGGTACCTACTCCGGTATCTACTATACATAATTACGTGGTGACGTACATAATATATACTGACACAAAGTACAAAGTACTTACATTGATCTAAGAAGTGTAATTATAATGTAAGTTAGAAACTTATTTACGTATAATGTATGTGTATTTATAGAGTCAAGTCAGGTCCTCGATTCTAAATGACTGAACCACTGAACACTGAACGGGTGTATCTAACATTTGTCATTTCATCTTATTATAATTACCTAAGAATTGTATAACGGTATACTCGACAATTTATTTATTAAGTGAGACGATATTTTGTTAATTCGATAAATAAATAAATAAATAATAAATGCTGCACTTGTCATGCGAGATTTCGAATTGTGTATTGTGTAAAATAGTTATTGAAAAAATACCTTTTTTTAAACAGCTACAGTATAGTACGTTGAAAACATAAAATAGGCGATTCTTTACCTGTCACGCAGAATTGGTATAATACTACCATGTGGGTATAGAAGAAATAATTTTGAGATATTATACTGGTGGGGAAAACCACTACCTTGGTACTGAAAGAATGCATTACGAAATAATTGGAACCGCAATATGTAATATTTCATCCGGAGATACATACATGATCATTTATGACACGAAAAATGTTGTGGATTACACAATGACCTAATGCAGTCCTCGTTATTTTTATTACATATAATTCGAAAGATCTCGTGCACGTGATGCCCCTTAAACGCATTACAAAAACTAATATTTAATACACCGTAGGTAAAGGTCCTATTTCAATAGGATAACGTTGCTAGTTGTAGTCATATTTTCCTATAAAAAAATGTTCATAATAAGGTTTCTTTTTGACGCAGTTATGGCCTGTACAATACCCTATAATATTACATTTTTATTGTAAAGAAATAAAATAAAGAAATTATAAGTAGCTTTTGGAATATCATTCTGGAGAGTCTGTCAATAAAGTTCAAATACCTACTACAAATTCCACGATTGTTAAAATCTTAAAACAAAACTTGAAAAGTTTTTAAAAGTTTCGCTTGTAAGAAAGAAATTTAAAAGATTGGACATAATATCATTCGATGAGAAACAGATCCTATTACTATTAATATTCTTTTTTCTATACATTTTAAACTATTTACAAATAAGTATCACGTAATAGGTATCATAGTTCAGTTGATCAATTATTTTAATGTGTATGTAATACAATAATATTTTTAATATAATATACATTTTTGTTAATAATTTATTTTAGATTCTGAGTGGAGGGATGAATGTATTGATTTTACAATGATGTGTATTTTTTTATTTGTATGTCTGTTATCACCTTTTGGAGTTATATAACTTCTCAGATTTCCAACTTAGGTATATGTTCTGTTAGGTATGTGTATAGTTGGTATTATAGAGGAGTAAAAAGTAAAAAAAAACAGACATTTTTATTTTTTTTCTCAAAACTATAAATATTTTACTATATAAATCTATACAATTATAATAATTGAATATTAATAATATAATAAATGCAATGTTTTTGGCGAAAATTAAATTAACCTCCCGTAATAACAATATTTAAATACTTGAGTTACTTTAATAGCTCAATATTAAAAAGTATATGAAAATATATACTTTGTTATGTAGGATGACTGATCATCTTTTGCTCAGAAATGTTTTTCGTATGCAATGATTCAAATTTAACATATATTTTATTACATTGATTCACTCAATGAGGTGGCACACTCAACATCTACCATACAGCACAGCAGTTATACCTACTTTCCTCCTTTTTAAAATAAAATATGTCTTATTGAATTAAAAATTATGAAATTATGAATAGGTACATACAGGTAGGTTACACACAATATATTATAATACCAGGTCCCTACCACTATGCCATTAACATGTATAGGTTATTTTTTATATCAATATCCTTTTTCATTCAATAATGGAAGTTAAATTATAATGTATATTTAACATAGATTCAAAACTCGATAAAAGTTGTTTTATATTACAAAATATTTTATGCATAAAACCAATAAATATTTTTATAAGGTATTTTTTAATATAAAGATCTAGTATCATTGTATAGCCAAATATAACTAAAAGTTTTAAATTATATTTTAAGCTCAAAACACGAATTCCAGCTCGGGTAATATAAATAAATCATGGAAATTAAACGGCTTATGGTAGGTTTTGTGTTTGAATTTATGCTAAGCATATCTCGATCCATTAACGATGGAATAATATGGTACCTTTCGAATATTCTTGTGGCTAGGATATGTTTGCATGAATATATCATGGCACACACCGTTGTCATTGATATTAACCTCATAATCAAGTCGATGTCTCTTATTTCGAATGTTACATATTCGTAAAAAATACACAGTAGAATTTATTTGTACTTCTAATTCGAGGTATCATCGAGACTCGACAATAACTACATATTTTTTTATATACAACTTGTAGTAAATAATTTTTAGTCAAATATATATTAATTTTCTTATAATAATTGTCGTTACTTTTCAACAATTAAATTATTATCTTCCAGATTTTATATTTTCTTAGTAAAATTAATGACTATAATATATGCACAGTCATGGATCTAATTTAAAATCTTATATAATAAAACGAAAACTAAAACGATTTTCATGCTTTCTGACAAACTTGTCATAAATTAATGTTATTCTATGTAGGTGCTTTAGTAATGTTTAAATGAGCACATGCAATATTTTGTTTACTTGTTAAAAATGTATTTATTTAAGGAGAATTGAGAGAGTGAATATAATATTAAGTTTCAAGTTTCAACACATCAATTATAAGGTTATTTGTCACTTGAAACTCTTTGCTTAAATGTATAATGTTATCACATATAATACTCACTTAACGACTTTTCCAATACTTATTACATAATATAATTATTATTTTAATAATATTCATAACATTGTCTAGAAAAAAACCTTGTTTTTTGCCGTTAAAATGACATGTCCATTGTGCACTGTATACTGACCATAGTGCACCATGCGTACTATATTATTAATATTTTTAAGAATAATTTATGCACATTAACTTAGAAAGTAAATTGTTCCAAATAAACTGTCAACATCTCTGTAAAATATTTCATGATATTATGAACTGTGAACTCCGCAACAAAACAGAATCACTAAAGTACTCCTACGCGTTTATTTAAAAATTAAATTAGCGTTTATGAAAAACTAAACAACATTTTCTCGTTTTATAATCCTAGTGTTATGCACGCGTATACAAGACCCTTTACACACCGCAGCTCTCATTCATTTTGGTAGTTATGGTACCTAAATGCTTATTATTATATATTTAGAACAGTATATACCAGTAGGTACTCTTGAATTCTCGGTCCAACAGTTTTAAATAATTCCGGTGTTGTAGATAGCGGTATACGAAGGAAACACATTTTGATAAATGCCTGCATTACGTTGTTTTAATTGTAATCCAAGGGAAATAGTGATAAATATTTATTCATCCTCTTCATTTTCCCAATGATGTACAATTACTTGAAAAATAAAAATATAACTAGAATATTGATGTCAAATCAGTTTTAATACATCTATTGTGTATAATGTTTATGCTCCTAAATATCTATGTGTATTATAAAAAATCGTGTGCGATGGCAAACTGAGCTCGTCCATTCTCGGTTTTTGTTTTAGAATAGAAGGATGATTTCTGATTTTATACATTTTTGTTTTGTCTTCCACAGACGACGGCGAACAACAGTCAGATACTGTCGACCAGCAACAGAAGACCTCCAATTACGAGCCTCTGGAGAGGCGAATGACGCCAGGTGGATCGATAACGTTTACCTGTAGGATCGGTCTCATCGACCAGGGCCGGCAGAGCATTCTATGGTATCACGACGACAAGCTCATTTCAATATTGGTATGTACGGTTGATAATGTCCCACCAAACGGAAGATTCTTGAATTCGTGTGCAATATTAACGAATACGTAAAAATAATGTCGAACGGTCAAGTCGTAGACAACTTTGAAATTATATTATTGAAGACTATTCGATACTGACCGTTGTTAAATAGTGGAAATTGTTTACCTGTGGGTAAACGTTTCGAGTGAATGTGTGATTAGTAAGCTATTATAAGCGTGTGATTGACTTGTGTCAAAGAGATGGTGAGGATCTCACTCATACGTATACAAAATATGTCACACATTTGTAGTCAATGAGTAATGTTTTTCATTAAAAATCCAGAACTTTGCGTCCAACGTACCGATAAAAGTTATTACCTATATTATAAATTGAGAAAAAATCTGAAAACATTTGAATTTGTTATAAAGTTTACTTCAGATCGATCAACCCAATTTTTTTCAATTCCGTTTAATCACTGTTTAAGAATTCTCCGATTTTTTACATTTTAAATCAAATTTAAGGAGAAAATAAGATGTGAATTTTGAAAAAGTGTGATGATCGATCTCATGCAAACTTAAAAATGAATTTAAATATGTTTTTACTTTTTAAATTTCTTACCACATATTACTATTTTCATCGGTACGATGTAAGAAATATATATTGGTAATATAAGAGATGTATGATATTGTCAAAAAAAGGCAATCGGTATCGAATTTCTTAATAAATTTCGCATTTGCGCGTATAGGTAATTTAATGTAGGTTATTGGACGTAATTATGATGATTTCGCATGCGACTTTATAAAAACGAACTTAAAAACTCTACCTCTGCTCGATTAAAATTATTATTATTATTCCTTCGATGACTATCGCTTTACTTGTCCATCAGACATTGTAGGTCCCCGATATAATAATAATAATACTGTGTTTAATAACGGTTGTAATGATAGTAATAATAATTAAATTACATGATCTTTATTAATCACCCATGTACCACACGTTACGCTGTCTACGAGGATTTATTTATTCGACTGCATATGCCCTCGCGATAAATCACACATGACACGTCAAAATTACCGGACATAGAAGCAACGCAAAACATAATAAATAGACAAATAATTTTTTCCCGTTTCAAACGACAATAATAATTCATAAACTATTTTAACCGGCTTGTGAAATACATACGTGCATATAATGTTTACAAAATAACATTTTACCGAGCTCGCCACAGAATATATTAAAATCGTGTGGCAAGCGTATAGATACTTTTAAATAGTTTTATACTTTTATGAAACACTAAAACATTGTATCATAAATAATTTCGATTTCGAATGATTTAAAATGGTTTTATTCGTCAAAGAATTTAAAAGATAAACAAAAATAGTCCAAATTCTATTTAAGAGAATTTTATATCCTCTCATAAATCTGCTTCTTGTAAAAACATCCACTGAATATTTTGTTTGAAATTGTAATTTATTTAGATGAAAATCATAAATTCGTTTCAATTGATCACGTATTGGTATAGCGCTATTACGATATCGTCATTATACAGTTTTATTTGTTTTCCACTCTACAAATATAATAAGGGACGGTGGGAAGCATTATGATTTGGATGTGAATTATGACAAGTACGCTGATCGTAAATGAAATGAGGCTATTATTTTATTTATTTATTATTCGGTGACTAAAAATAGTTTTATTACCATTGATAAACTCCGCAGAGACAATTGTATTCCTAATTTATTATTATTAATATTGCAGTTGTCCTTTGTATTATTTTTAATGAATGAATCCGATATAAGCACCTAATAACTGTATAAAATGAATGCGTTTATAACCTAAACGATAACTACAATTTTTATTTTTTAATATCTCGTTTTAATCAATTATATTGGACTGTAATAGAATATATAAATTATTATTGATAGCTTCGGAATACACAATTAAGTTGATTAATTAGCTACCTTCGTTTAGGACGAGGGTATCATTATACATAATACCTTCGTTATTAGTTAACATAACAAAATAAACGTAAGTTGAACTCGTTCAGACAATATATTTTTTGTTCTCTTCTAAGTCTAAATTAAATTTCAGAAACAAACTTCTTATGTAAAAGTCATTATAAGTCCAGTTTAGTCATTTGGTATACAGATTTAGAGCCTTGCCAAACCATCAAAGTTGCACTCAATCTATTCTTTCTTAAATATGTCACTCTGTAATAATATTACCGAAGCTCCAAGATAACTAACTGACATTACACAAATTATGACTGTTAATGATCTTGCCAAACTTCATCACAAACGTATTCATTTCAAAGTCATCTCCAACACCTCTTCCTTTACTAACAATTCCCGATAAAGTGATAACCCTCCTCGGCCGCCAAAATGAAACTGGAATCACGACATATTAAACAGTTAAATAAATAATAAAATTAGGTATTAGTGTATTACCATTGATTGTATTATATTATATTATAAAATCAATGGTACTACCAATGGGTAACTTCCTCTTAACGCCACTCGCGCATCTTACAATTATTTATCATCATACCAAATTACTTATTTTAACCACACGATTAAACAGATTTGTATTGGATTTTTAAAAAAAAAACCTTGTACCTACTCGTAGATCCCAATTAAATTAAAAATAAAACAAATGTAGACAATTATTCTAAAAATTACTCTCGTTCTACACGTTTCAGACGAGAATTTAATCTCGTGAGAATAGGTACTTTAGGTAGGTCACTTTAGTATGTTAGTGTCGTGTTGTATTTTTAAATACGGAAACGATTAATTATTGCATTTGTAAAACTACTCCAAACATAGGCCTTTGAATCCTATGTAGTTTGACCGTAAATTTAACTTCTTTCTTTTTGTTCTTTTTGTCGTCACCCTTTTGAAAAATAATGAGCATTTTGAGATTCTAACGCTCTCGAAGTACCATCCACATGTTAGTTTCAAAGCATTGTATACATTTTTTTTTTTGGAAATCAGTTACTATAAAAACAGGACATCGTTATAAAAGTAAAGCAAGTTTTCCATAGCTGCTTGGAAATCGTCAAGTTTTTATACATTGATTACCAATATGCATTTAAGCCAATATTTAATTGGATATCATCCAATAATAACGTATAGTAATAATCTCAAGGTATAAAAAAATGTTATTATTAATATTACTACATGTTTTATGATATTATTCATCAACAATCTTTCAAATATTACTAAATTGTAAAATTATTTTTCAAAATATTTGACATTTTCATCTTTTTTCCATGAACTTTGTCTTATTTATTATACATTTATTATTTTAGATTTTGAGCGAAACGATGAAAGTTTTGATTTTGAAAAAAAAAAAAAAGAAAGGATGCTTTGAATTTCAATTTTTGGGGGGTTTCTGGTAGTACCTATTTCAGATCTAGTTTGTACTAAAGATAAAAATTGGAAATTCCCAAATGCCACTAGTTTTCTAAATAATTGGAAAAAAAAATAAAATTATGGACAATTTGAATTTAATAAAATCGTTTTTCTTTTTTTTGTTGTTATTCAAAACCGAATAACCAAAGAAACATAAGTTGTTTATAGATATTTGATAGTTTTGTTTTTTTTTTTAAATACGGATAAGAATTTCGGTCAAGAAACTTGAAAATTTACTACAATGTTTCTGATAAGATTTCATTGTAGCTTTTTAAAAATATTGAAGGTACCACTATTTTTTTTGTAGAAGCATTACAATTTCAAACTTTTATAAAATTTGAGAAAAAATGAAAATTTGAAATTTATTTTTTAGTTTATAGTTTATAAAATGTTCAATTTTTATAGCTTTAGGATTATTTAGATTAATCAAATGTTATAATTCTCATATTTTTCAATTCAAATAAAACATAAATTACGTAATTAACTATAGTATGTATCACATAATGAAAATCTATACATTTCGGATTTTCAGAAGATTTGGTCCATTATTCAACATTGATGATGGTTCCTGGTAGATAATTCCATATTGCCACTATCGAAAATCGTAAATAGAAAATACCTTGTAATTTTCTTAGTAAATGTGTGATCAATAAAACAAAAAACTGGTTAAAATTCGGAATATACCTTTTCACTTAACATCAGTTTAAAGTAAAATCATAGTTGTATTTCAGAAAGTAACAAACGTTAGATTTATAAGCTATTTATATTAAAAATATCTTTGTTATGATATAATATTAAAATTGTTTAGACTTCTACAGCTTCTCATACCACAGACCTATTCACACTATTCTACGACGCGTCGATATTGACTTATAACTATTAAGTTATGAGGTAGATACATATTTATAATATAATAATAGTAACAATTTTACATAATATTAGTCCAAAGAAAATAATAATTATCTAATAATACTTATCCTTAAAAATTAATTTCCATTTTTTTTCGTAGGATCAATTGAAATGGTTTATTATTAGATTTATATTTAACATATACTCAATTACGATATACACTAAAAAGTTAAAACCTAAAACCTAATACAAAAAAACATAAGTTTCCCGGCTTAAAAAAAAAAACGGTTTCAATGAGTGAAAGTTTCAAACAGATTTTAAAATTATAATCATTTATACCAGGTACTACATTTTTGAATGTGATTTGTTAGGTAGAAATAATACAATTCATAACAATTGATTTCTTCGAAAAAGTGAAAAAATATAAAAATTGAATTTACAAAATATAACACATAAAAAAATAATGATAAGTTGATATCAACCGAACAATTTTTCTGTATTTTAAAGTCTATTAATCAATTCTAAACTGACACTCTGAACGAGAAATGATACTGTTAAAGCTTATCGCCATAAATCTCACATAGCTGCCTTTGAGAACTAACACGCGTAGGTATCTAGTATAATATATAGGCTGGAAAGAGTGAAACGATTTATTCAGTTGGTTCCGAAAATTTGTAACATTTATAATAATTGATACGCAATGCATGTTTTTTTTAAAGACCATCAATAAAGCAAAATGAAAAAGGTAATTGAATGTTT